TTTCTTTGCCTCGGATTGCATATCTAAGCCAGTGCCACTGTCTCAAAAAAAAAAAAAAAAAAAATCCATGATTGGTTGCTATGGTGGCTGGACCACAGAGTCAAACTGATTGTTCTTTATCATTGATGGTCTCTCAGCCTAAATTCCTACTCTCCTGACAGTAGACAACAGGCTGGTAATACTTCCATGCAATCTAAAGGGGCAAATCCTATAGGTTGTAGACTATCTAGACCTAATATCTTCCTCTGATGTATTAGTTAATCAAATAAAATTTAAACTAAGAAAGATATGTCTTTGACATCTATTATGTGCAAGAACTACATATTCAACTTTTTAATTATCTTATAGAAAGAAATGAGCTCAATCAGAAGAAATGTAAAAGGCCAATGGAAAAGTGTAGTTTAAATTGCACGAATACAAGTTGTAATGGCTTATTTTCACTATGAGCTCAGCAGAAAAACTACCAGAGGCACATTTAGCATTCAGTGGAATAGAGAGTATTTAATATGCCATTTGCATTTTGACAGCTTAGAAATGTCTACACTGGATTTGCTGTATCGTCTGCAGTAAGCGCTCACCAGACACTAAGTCTTTGTTTATCTATTTCTTAAAGAAAGCAGAACCATTTCCTTGACATTTTCAAAGCCGTGTTGGTGTTCCTTTGAGACAATAACTGGAGTCTAAGGAAGCTGGCCCCAAGGAGGAACTGTGTTTGCCTGTAGGAACTTCAGAGCACTGTCGTTGTGGCAGTCTTCTCATCAAGCACAATTGGCCAGCTGAAAGTCAATTTAAAAATAGTCATTCTGTTTCCTCACTAGGCCTCTGTCAGCAACACGCTTGAGACCAGCGGGAATTCGACTACCGTTTACTATCTGCCATTTGCTTGTCTGGACTTGGGTGATGAACCCTCATGGTCCAACTCTTGAAGTTTTCAAAACCTGCCACTTCAGAGAAAGACTTCCTTTTGCTCACCTTCTCAAAGACCACATTCTAAACTGCTAAATACACGGGTGCCTCAGGAACACTGGAAAAGTTTTTGGCAGAACAGTTATGAATTGACAAAAAAAGATAATTCCTTTGACAGTGCAACAAGAGAAATAATACATGATTTGCTAAGCAAATCATGAATACAGAAATATCAACTTCATCTTAAGTTTCCCACCTTTTCAGTGCACGATGGATTGGCTCGGGGTGTTCTGTGAAAGCCCCTTACTCAAAGGAGTTTCCTGACTTCATGGAGAGAAAAGTATACTTGGTAGGGAGGGCGCTGCCCTAGAGGTATCTGACCGGTGAATCAAAGGTATTAGTATTCTTGTTGGGGTTATGAATTTTTAATAAGATAACTCAACTAAAAGCAAGCAGATATGTATGGAACACCCCCACGTTCCCTCTTCTCTCTCTCTCAAGTTGCATGATTTCTCGGGAAATTCAGCAATTCCTGCTTATATCTCTGCTGGGTGGGCCAGCGATTTTTATAATTGTTTATTTTGTCAAGATTTCTACCTTTCTTTTCCCAAGCTTCCCCAAACGAGGTTGCTCTGGGCTAGTACTGTTTTATGTGCTCGCTTTTAGGACGTTTCCTGGGTAAGGAATTGCCTGCAAATACCTGCAATATCCTTGCCGCACTTACGCACGAATCAACTGAGAAGCAAACTTTGTCCAAACAGGCGGCAGATCAGCCTCAATTTCAGGGCGCAGATCTGAGAGAGCGCTCACGGGGAATGAATATTCCACCTACTTACTAGAAGAAAATGCTTAAAGCCTTTCTGCTTCTTATGTAGTCCCTGAAAATGTGCCTTTCAAGAGCATGCTTGGGACTCAACCTTCCCCATACTATTAAGGATCCAGAACAAAAAGGAAATTAACACCGAATCCCTGATCACCCCCCCCCCCCCCCAGTTTCACAGGGGAGTACACAGCACCATCAACTGAAGCTAACACTCGAGTCCCAGCCGGAGAGGGCTCCAGTGACCTCCACTGCGGCCGCCTCTGCCCTCACGACCCCACAAACAGGTCACGAACGAGGCCTCACGCAGCAAAACTCCGCACCCGCCTGCGCCACAGCGGGAGGCGCCACCTGGGCGCTCGCGGCGCAGCTGTCCGCGGCGGTGGCCAGGCGCCCCCCAGCCCAAGAGCCCCTCCCCTGGAATGCCGGGCCGCGCGCACGCGCCAGGGGTCGCGAACCCCCGAGGGCGGCAGCGCCCTGGAGCCCAGTGCCGAGGCGCCTCGGCCCCTCGGCCTCCCGGGCTTCGCTGGGCCAAGGGAACGCGACCCCGCCCCGGCTGCCAGAGCGCACACTCTGCACTCGGGGACTCCGGCGCTGGCGTCACCAGCCTCCTGCCGGCCCGCGGCCCCTTCCCCCGCGACCACGCGCACTCGCACTCGCACTTGGCCCTGCGAGGGCAGGGACGTCCCGC